GAAGGAAGGAAGGAAGGAAGGAAGGAAGGAAGGAAGGAAGGAAGGAAGGAAGGAATTCAGTCAGTATAGGCACTCATTCAACTCCTGATGGACTTTTCCCCCCACTCTACTTAATCCATATCATCACTTTAGTCTCATGGATGTGATGTGGCAGATGTCTGTTTGACTTGGATAATGTGGGATTCCATCCCATGTTGATTCACTGCCATTTCTGACCTGGAGGACTGACTGAATATATTTAATGTGGTGAAATAGCCTTGTGAAATCCCCCTTATGTGGTAAAGTTATCCGTGAGAAAATGCTTGTTCTCTAGCATTTCTGAAATGGTACAGTAGACTGTCATCTTATTTTTCTCAGGAGTCATCAGTATTGTTGGGAAAAAGTTCTTGGCAATGACCATTATTCCTCACCTCCCCTGGAATAGTTAGATGAAACAGCTCTTAATGCTAAGATATTAATATTCAGTAATAAGACCTGGAACAATCTTCAGTTATTAAGATAAATGCCTAGGAGTAGAGGATTAGAACTACCTTAAGGAGAATGCAGTTGGAAAGTGGCAAAAAAAGTACACCACAACTGCTTACACTGGAGTAGTTTATTGAAAGCCCATTGAAATCAACTGGTGTGTTGACTGGCTTGAGTTTTTAAGTGTGTGTGTGTGTGTGTGTGTGTGTCTATGTGGTTGTTAGTGCAAATCTTTACTGGATCTTAAACTGCACAATTTATGAGTCATCAAGCCAATTCAGAGTCTACCAGTTATGTATTGTTGCCCGCCAGGAATTTCACAGCTCTGCTTGTTTTTTTTAATCTGAGACAGACAAAAATGCAATAAATGTATGCAGCACATAAAGTGCTGTCATATATAGTCAGTTTGCTTGTAAGGTAGTGTATGCATTTCGCAAGCCCGCCTTAAATCAAGCATAAGATCGGAAAGCAATAATTTTTCTGATCAACTGATTAGAGTGGGCAAATTGGAATGGTATACTGGCATAGAAAGGTTAAGTGCCTTTTGTAAAGGAGATGCAATCATAAACTGCCCTGCAAGTTAAGCAGTAAGATATTTGCTTACCAAAGAATGTGATTATATTCACAAAGAAAAAATGCCTCAAGCTTCAACTTAAGTCAAGGTTGATTATTTAGATCTCTCTCTCTTTTCCTTAAAATATTGTGTTTGTCCTAAACCTTTTCCATTGTGGGTGATGATTAACCACTCAAACAATGGGAAAAAAAACATTTTAGAGTGAATAAGAGAAATATTGTCTAGAAATATTAGTAAGGTGGCAAATGCAAGCATTCTTCTGGAAAGGAAGACATAAACATGTTGGGGGAACAAAGAAGATTTTTTTCTCAAACAATTTTCCGTCTAAATACTTTTGACTTCAGCTCCCATTGTCCCTGCATGTGATAGATGATGCATTTTTGGACGTGAATCATGATAATTGTGGTCCAATACATCTCAATTGATAGCCAGCAGGGAGAATTTCCCTATTTTTAATGTTGTGGATGAAAACCTCAAACATTTGCATCTTTGGGCGCTTCCCATGAGGTATCTAAGCCCATTTGGAAACGGCTCCAGAGCTCTGTGTTCCCATGACATCAACGGTGCCTGAGAGCTCTCCTGATTTATTTCTGGCTGAGCTGTGGTGTAATTAAAACTGGTGCGAAGCTCCAGCATTTCATTTTTGTTTTATGAAGCAGTGGCTCCACTGCCCCATTGGTGGAAGAGCTGCTCACTCTTCCTCCTGGCTCCTAAGCTTGACTTCCTGAAAACTGCCCCTCAGAAGTCCAAACCAAAGGAGCAGGGGTGAAATTGACAAGACCTTTGTCAATTTCTCTTTCCTTTTCTGTATCAAAGGAACCAATGTGCAAAGGCCAGGCTGTTTCTCCTCATCTCCCTTTCTCTTTATATCAAGTGGGAGTGAAGGGATCACTATTGCCGCAGGACCAGGGGCAATTTAGGGCAAGGAAGGACAGCTCAGGGCTTGCTCCACCACCTCCTCAGCCTTTCAAGGGATGAAAACAGGCATGGATTTTGCCTTCTAAGCATTTGGGGAGTGAAAACAGTGACACCGTGGAAATGTTTGAAGAGCCCTGTTTTGATATTAGCAAAATTAAAATGAGAGCTTGTAGCACACATTTATAAAATTGTCTCTTTTATATATGAGCTTGGGTATAAATCTGTGAAATAAAGGGTAACAGTACATAGAAGGAAAACTAGCTGGGAAATTCTGGAGGGAGCCCAAGTTGAGGAAGGCTGGTCTAGACAAAAGGGTTTTCTCTCCCTCCCTCCCTCCCTCACACACACACACACACACACACACACACAGCCAAGGACTCCAGTCCATATCCTGACTGGGTCCTACTTCGTTAATTTTTAATCTGTCTGCTTTTTTTAAAAAAAAGAAGAAGAACAAACATGCAATCTGGCTTTAAACTGACAGCTTTGCCAGGACTGTATTACAAGAATTGTTTGCCTCTAATTGCAACGCATTATCATACAAAAGAGAAACTATAACTAAAATATCACATGGGTGTGCCTAGTTTGTGGCAGATTTCATCCAACAGACTGGACTGGAACCACTTGGGTAACTTGCAAGAAAACCAAGAACTTTGGGTAACTAAAGTCTCACTGAAGAAAGTTAGGAAGCCCAAACCAAAAAATCCTAGCAGCTATTGGAATTCGAAAGCAAGTCTCAGGC